AAAAAAAAAAAAAAAAAAAAAAAAAAAAAAAAAAAAAAAAAAGTAAAAAAAAAGTGACTACTTAGTTTTAGATTGACTTACTTTATTTTGTGGCTTCCCATATCAATAATGAATGCTAAATCCCTTATTTGGGTCAAATTCTTTGGTCAGCTGGCCAGGACTCAGCAACATATCTTGAAGAAAGTAGATCAAAGGTGACTTCTTGACAAATATTGACTTGTGGCTGCAGAGTGATGGTCCCTTGGGTAGAAGTCAGATTAGATGACTTCTTTTTAATCTCTGAGAGCTGCAGTGACCCTTCTGGGGCTCTTGAAACATAGTTGTACCATAATGTCCTCTCTCCTGTCTGAAACCCTCTCCAGCACTGAGGTGCACAGCAAATCTACACCTCTGGTTCATTGCTCCATTCATGGCCCTCCTCAGGTAAGGCCGTCCAAAAGAATCCTCTCTCTTACCATGGCCCTGCCTCCTCTGTGCTCTCTGGATTCCATATATCTGTTTCCCAGAGGTTCTTGCTCCAGGTCTGGCATTCATTGACTGCTTTGCTCCTTGTCTGTTATTGCTTTAGAACTGCTTATCACAGCTGTAAGAGGTGTCACACAATACAGTGCTGTGGGGAATCAGGGTGATCCTTAAATGCTTCGGATTCCCTATGCCCTTTGGCCACATATGGTCACCCTCCCCCTCAATTACACTTCAAAAGGCAGAGGATATATACACTGCTCTTTTACCTTTGTGCTCTGGGAATAGTACTGTGCTGTGCCATAAAAACCTTCTATTTTTGAACAGAAACTAACAGAAGTGAAAAAAAAATAAGTGAATGGCTGACCAGAGCACTTGACACAGTCTGTCACAGCTAAGAGCAGCTCTGTTGATGTGTGAGTAGATTTGGAGGTGCTGAAGGATGCTTGAACGATAACAGTAGAAAGCGAAGCAGTCTTACTTGCTAGAGAGCAAGGACAGCACAGGCATTAGCTGCTCATTCTCCTTGATGCTCTGTGAATGCACTCAACTCTGACTTGCAATAGCAACTTGAGAGTAAGGGAAACCTAACTGCTTTACAAATGCTCTACTGAGGCCTCCCAGGGCCTATTTTTGAGCAGTGGGTATGTAGCCATTAGTCTTACTCAGAATGTTCAGAGCAATTTACATTTGAAAAAAAAGAAAAACAACTAAACCAGACATGATTTGTAGAGAATAGAAGACTTTTTGTTCTACTACCTGTCTGCTGAGCTACCCTGTCCTCTTGAATGTACACCATGACCATTTGTTATTTCCCCCCATGGTGAATGTCTAAGTTCTGTCTACTTTCTGCCCAGCGACTGGAGTGCTGCAGGTGACCGGGAGAATTGATCGCGATGCCCTTCCACTGCGGCTCCATCCCAGCATCTCACTGATAGTCCGGGTGGAGGACAGTCCCAGCAATGGTCATGCCAGTGAAATGGAGATCACAATCATTATTGATGATATCAATGACAACCCACCAGAATGCAGTCCTTCTGCCTTCAGGTATTGAGTGTGTTACTGCCTTGGTGCTGCCTTGCTCCCCCAGACCGGTGTGCAGCCCGGGGCACATCAGTTGGGCTCCCCAAATCTACAGCTAGAGGTTCAAACGGACATTAATCATTAGCCTGCCCACTGTACAGGGCTGTTGTCCGTCACAACATACAGATCAGATTCTGGGTTGCTTCATCTATTGTTGTATTTAGATCTAGGATTTCAGTAAGAACATAGAGCAATGTTTTGGCACATGTTCTATGAAGAGTTGAAAAGAAGAAATATAAGTTGCTCTGATGAGAAATGTGTTTGTTTTAAACAGGAAAGAAGTAAATGAAAATACGGCTCCTGGGACATTTCTCATTGATCTTAGAAATTACTGTAAAGATATTGATGTTGATCCATCAAACAATCAATTTAATTTCACTGGATTATCTGGTTTTGGAAGCAATAACTTCACTCTGGATTCCACTGTGTCTGGGAGACTTGTGGTCAGTCATTTGTGGCTTTATGTTAGATTATCCCATTTCAGAAGTCAATTTATGAAATATTGTAAGTTTTTTTAATTCATTGTCTGTACAAGAAAAAATAATTACTGTAATCCATTTCACAGTTGGTATGATATGGAGAATGACTGTTTTGACTGGATGTAAAGTACATACCCTTTGATTGGGTGCTTTCTAAGGATTCTACAGAATTTAGTGAATAGAGGCTGTTTTTTCCAGTTTTAAATAAATGTGATAGATATGATTGAAAAAAATACCCTTTTTTAGGGAGTGTGAAACACCAGTTTTGATATGGATAAACAGAGAAATCTGATGCCATTTCATACCTATTTACTCATGACAGACTGTGGAAGATCCTTGCTATTCAGCATGAAGAATTTAAATACTTGAGAAATCCCACACTCAGTAGCAACTTCCCAGCTTCATTGGTCAGAATTTTAAAACTACTCTGAGTGGCAAATTTTCCCAAAAGTGTGGTGGGGTTTGCACTTGTGTGATTTTGTATGTCAAAATATGTGTTCCTTATGCTGATAGCTGCTGGCAAACTCGCACTGGCCAGAAACTGCACTAGTTCCTAGATATGTGCAGTAGTGGTTGTTTTGATGCTTTGAAAAAGAACCAATGGTAACTACAGAAAAAGGGAAACAAGAAAAAATAGGCATTCTGTCTAGAAGACAAGAGCACTACAGGAGCAGTAAAATGATTTTGTATGGTTTATTTTAATTTTGGATCTGAGGTATCCTTACCAATAAGTACTGCCCTTAGTTGCTTCATCTACCAAAGTAGAAAACATTTTCTTTGCTGCACAGGATATGATTGTTGTCAGCCCTTTGAGCATTGTGTATATGTAATGTAACAGGCTATTTGAAGTGACCTGTTCCTCCAGGAGTTTCCCTGTAGACTGGGATGAACACTGGATGCCCATGTGTGTTAGTCCCAAAGTTTATGATGCTCTTACAGCAAGATAGAGAGTTCAGGAGATTAGGATTTAAATCTGTGTGAGCCACCATTTAGTAACAACTTGGTGCCTGGATAAACATTCGTGGCTGGACCTGATACCTTTAGTAAATATCTGCAGGCATGAGCTCAAGGAGTAACTACCACTGTTTAGCAATCACAGAGTGTTGTTGAGCCAACAAAAGGCAGAGTAAATACCCAGCTCATTACATGTGCTTTGAATTGACTAGATAAAAAGTCAAGACCCTATGATCCGAATGATAAAACTTCCTGCGCTTATGGGGAAGAAATTTTGTAGGCAGAAGAGAAGAGTTTTGAATTTCCAAGAGATAACAGAGCATGAATGTGTAGAAAAAAGCCTGGAATTCAATCCTGCAATTGGTTAATAGCCTGTATTATTCCTGCAGAACAATACTGTATGTCCAAGGGGGAGATCACACTTACAGAATGCTGAAAAAAGTAATTACCATCCTGTGTACTGTGACTTCCCACAAGGAAGCATAACTACAGTTGTGTTTCTTTTTAATTTAGATGACTGGAAGTGTTGATTTAGAGAACCCAGCTAATCCAGGAATTGAAGTTTATACTTTGACTGTTAGGGTGCAAGATATTGCCCATCCTAACTACTCAAGCAAGTATCCCTTTTAAATTGTTTTTGATAGTTTTCTGTGCTGTAACAGCATGGAGAGAGGAATACCATATGTATTTTGAATATATGCAGGAGAAAATTTCACAACCATACTTAACTCTGATATAATCTTGTTATATTTCCAGATATCATCTACATTTACATCAGGATAAAACCAGTGAATGAATTTTTTCCAGTTTTCAGTACTTCATCTTATGTATTTAATGTTTCAGAAATTACTAAAGGTACAGTAAGTAACACCTACATTATAGAAATAATGTTGTCATGTTGGTAAGTACCTCTTAGCTCTACATGAATTTCCATATATTTAAATGAGGCAAAGGGTTCAAAGTTCCAGTTCAACCAGGGTCTCACCATACAACCACCTACTACCCTTAAATAGACTAAACTGGCAAAAACTCCAGTTGTACAGATGGAAGCTGAGACAGAAAAATTCAGCAATTGCACAAGAAATCTGTGGCAGTGCCAGGAAATGAACTCAGATGTCTTGTTTTAGACTGTCTTTCTGCTCTTGCTAAATTAGCCTTTTGGAGGGAGTGCGATGGTGCAAAGAAACCATTATAGACTGACACAGACAAGGGAGGACTCCCTCGGCCCAGCCACGGTGCACTTCTGTTGTGGTTCTCTACAGACTCTTTATGTTTTGGTATTTACTGCTGGCAGGCAAGCCCATGCACAGGGGAGCCATAGCACAGCATAGTGAACTAGTGCTTCTCACACCACTGCTTTAATTTTTGGGGGTGAAAAACTCTAAACCAAATCTTTAGTTCACTTTCATCAAGTTTTTGTTGGAACAAGGATTCTGTACCTCCTGTTCCCTAAAATGTTAATGAAATATGGATTTTCTGTCTCTCAGCTGGATCCAGCATTGGAAGAGTGCATGCCATAGACAAGGACTGGCCACCCACTATCATCACTTATTCCATTGTAGCGGGAGGAGGCACCAGGGATTACACAAATATCTTCTGGATCAGCTCAACCAAAGGAGATGTGAGGATTTTAGCTAGATTAGACTATGAAACAACTCAGAAACACATTTTTGCAGTACAGGCCTCAGACCAAGAGAAGTTTACAACAGCATCAGTGAGTAAATCCACTCTACTTCTTCCACTTTATCTAAGTTTTTCTGTTTTCTTCCTGGCAACAACAGTAAGACACTGGGCTAAGCACTTTGGTCTGTGAAGGGCAAGTTGAGCCCTGCACAGAGTCATATATTACTCAGATGAAAAAGGTTCATTCAGTTCACTCAGTCTTGGTTTATTTCTTATAAAAACAATTAAAGTAATATTTTAATTATTTTAACTCTGTGGGTTTTGTTTTTCAGTCTTTTTTTCTTATTTTACATTAGCAGTGAAATTGTTTTCAGTGCCCTCGACAATGAAAGTTTTTCTTAATGGCTACATATGTACCAGAAAATAGAAAAAAGACAGGATCTTGAAGCCAAGTAGCACAATCTAATAGTAGCCATGCTTAGTGACAAGTCCTTTTTGGAACCTGTGCAGTGTCCCTTGGCCCTCAATTTTGATTTTGTCTGTGATGTTTTTTCACTGCAAAACATCCAAAGTAACGTGGGAATTGTGTCACAGCCCATCGGAGTTGTGTTTTCATGGGTGGTACAGAGAGGATGTGCTAAATACCTTGGGGATGAGGGCTGGGCTTGGGCAGCCTCTTGGGTTAATGTCAGAGGGGCCAGCCCAGTACACATGGCCTACACTGTGTCCACATGGCCTATTGGAGTTGAACCCTTACATGTGCCTTCCCCTGACTGTGATCCAGTTTTTTCCCTAATGGTGCTATCTGGCAGGATCCAAGGCCATGCCAGGCACCAGTGATAACATTTAACAGCAGGGTTGTACTCAAGTTTGTTGCCCAGACCTATTTCATGCAGAAATAAAGATATTGGTGGTATACCCACAAAGGTCACTGTATAGTCAATTCTTTCAAAGAAACCCAGTGTCCTTCCCAGACAGACTCCTTTTTACTTCTTTTCACATTTTCTCCCCCATGACTGCTTCACATTTGATTTTTGCACATCTCTTGGAGGTGACACAAGAATTAAACTTGCTTTTTATTCCAGCTAAGCACCACCTGTAGAGATGCTAGGGGGGAGGTACTTAATCTCTTTATCATCTATAATATTTCTAGGTGATGATAAATGAAAATTCAACATCAGAAGATTTTAAGGATGGCAAGTTTATCTATTGCCTGACTAGGAAAGAACTTTGGGAAGGGTAACCTTTTTCTGTCAGCCAGATAATCCCAGCTGACATTAAACACATCTGGTGCTACTCAGGGTGCTCCCAGCCATGCAGAAGGCCATTACCAGCATTTCTCTCTCACTGGGAACAGTCTATAAGCACTGTTGCTTCCATGGAGCATGCTCTGAATTATTATTAAATATGCTAGGAAGCCTAACTGATGACTGTGAAGCAATTCAATAGGTTTGAAAGGGAGTTTAATGAATTTGTGATTCTAACTACGATACAATTCAGGTTATTCAAATGGTCAGAGAGCCTAAAAATCCCAGTTTTGGAAGATGGTTCAGGTCAAGGAGCCTTGTCGCAGAAGAGCATTGATCACAAGAAGAACTGAAGCCCAAATGACAACAGACATTTTCTGGCAGGAACTGGATTGGAAGGGAGGTTCAGTGCTCTTCCTCTGCTGTTGATCAAAAGAACAGGCAAAGCCAAACAGTTTCTGAAGTTAATAAAATTCTGACTCAGCACAGTGGAGCAATTTCAGCTTGCTATTGCTCTTTTCTTTCAGGTAACTGTGAATGTTTTGGAAGTAAATGATGAAGAACCAGTTTGTTCACCTAATTTCTATTCATTTCAAATCCCAGTCAGCTTAGCTGTTGGGACCAATATTAATGGCTTCAGGATTGAATGTCAAGATCGTGATTCTGATCCCAGGTCTTTCCGTTACTTCATTAATGAAGGTACTGTGTCAGAGTGTATTAGCTGGGAACAGTCAAAAAATTAGTGAATGCTGATGGTTCACTTAAATTTGTAAACAAAAATCTAACACGTTTTATGTGCTGTTTCTCACGGTGAGCTAGTTGCGATCCACAAGTTCTGCACACCATTACTTTGCTGCTTACCAAAAGAGATGTCTCTCCACAAGTTGGCTACTGGTGCTAGCACCTAGAACCATTCCCTTGCAGGACTGCATTGCCTACCACACGAATTAGTTAGCAATTCATTACACAGTTGACACGAACTTTGGAAGAATGAGGTGGAATGATATGCAGTGTCAAATTTCCCTTCCAATCACAGCTGAGCAAATTGTGAGAAATGATGGAGAGTTCTGTTACTCTGCATATCCTACAACTAGGTGCTGGTACACAGTTAAAAACTGCTCAAACCTGAGTGTTCTAGGTCCATGCTGCATCCATTAAATCCCCATTTTAACAACCACTGTTTGAATCTACACTGGGAGAACTGCAGTGGTATGGGATGTGTGGTGGTTTTAATCTAGACCTTCCCTGGTTACCAGTTTGTAACCAAGGAAGGGGCAGTGTTCCCAGTATTCCATACGATCTTTAAGTAAATCGTGGTATAAATAAGAGGGGAGAAGCGGCCTTCGTTCTTCTTCTCTTCTGCCGAAGTTCGGGAACAGTGGGTCCCTGCATTGGTCTCGCTTATCTAAGGCTGAGGCCTGCAGCATCCACTAACCTGCTACATGGAAGCTTGGAGAGTGCTGGCAGTGTCTGCCAATCCTGCTTTCTAAGGGACGTGGTGAGATTTGTTTCACTAGTTATTTTACTAGTTCTCGGGTTTGATTGTGCATATCTATTCGGTGTCCCTTTTTGTTTCCTTTTGTCCCTTTTTCCCCTTTCCCTATCCCTTCAGGGGTGTTTGGATTCCCGTTTGCTATGTACATAGCATCTTAACTGTAATATACATAAAATATTTTTTTATATAACTAGCTTGATTTTCGGGTTCTTCAATTTGCATAGTTTTTTTTCCTTTGCCCTGGGGGAAGTAGAAAGGGGGGAAGAGAGAGACTGCTACTGGGGGGGTTGGGCATTTGGCAGGGAGCAAGTCCGAACCATCACAGGATGACACAGCTTCACAAAAGAGGGAACACACTCTCTTGGGGCAATTCCTTTTTTGTTGCTACGGTGACTGCTGTGAAGGAGGGAACAGACTGTCCAGGTGCTGTGAGCATCAAGAGAGAATCTCTGTCCCACTGCAGCCCTTTGATGCCAGAGAGGGAGCTCTGCAGTAGTGGTATTGCCACATGAACCTCTACAACATCTGTGTTTGTGTTAGTCAATCAGGGTCTACCCCCAGGTCCAGTTCTGGCAGTACAGATGTGAGCTGTGCCATGTACTTTTCCTCTGAGCCACAGAGCAGCGCATGGCTGGTTTTGTGCTGTACAGTAGATGTGACCTTCAAGGTCACATCAGCTCTGGAGCTTTACGGGGCAACAAGAACCAAACTAAAGCACATTTGGTGCATTTTCATGACTGACCTCCTGTATGTGTCTGGCCAGAGCCTAAGACCTGGAGCTGTCCTACCTACAGCCCAACCCATGAGCAGCTCTCCAGCTACATAGACAGAAAGCAGCAGGTGGGGATCTCAGAGCACCTCTGAGCTCTCCTCCCTGCCCCATGGTGCTGACAAAGCCCTGGAGGCAATTAATGTCCCGGAGTTGTTATCTCTCTTCTGGGGGACCTCTTCAAAGGCTTCCTCTTGGCAGAGAGAGAAGCCATGGACAGGGACTGGAGCAACACTTCAAGGGCAATCCAGTAGTAGAATGAGTCACAGTGTAGGGTCTTAACCCCAGCTGGGTGTTGTTGGGTGTTCCCCAGGCTGTAAGGACAGGTCATTCTGGTGAACTCTCACGTGCCCTGTGTCTCTGAAGTGTTTTCACAGCCTCCTCTTAGCTATTTCCCCATAGAGGGTCTTATTCTATATTGTAATCCTTCATGACTCTATTGTTCTAAATTATTTTGTATGGTATCAGAAAAATGCAGGTGCCATTCTTGTAACTGACATTTCATCACACCTCACCACTTTACTGTGGAATTAATTTTTTGGCACGTTGGTGTTACTTTTTTTTTGCAGGCAATGAGAACAATCATTTCACTCTTTCACCGAGTGCTGGCTCCAATACATCTCGGCTGATTCTTGCATCACGGTTTGACTATGAGAGTGGGTTTGACACAAGCTGGATTTACAATCTGCGTGTCTACGTAACAGATGACAATTTACTGTCTGTCAGGGACAAAACTATACATTTAATTGAAACTGGAACGGTGACTTTAAGTATCAGAGTTATCCCAAATCCAACTACTGCCATTACCACCACGGTAAGTTCACTGAAATTTATGTCCAGTTCTGCATGGCCTTTATGGACTAATCTCCACAGAACTGAAGAAAAGAGGGTAGGTGTATGCAAAAGGAAAGCAAAAACCTAGAGTGAGTCCAGTCCTGGGCACTGCTGAGCCCTATGCTCTTGTGATAGAGCCAAAGATGCTTGATGTGCTTAGTGCCATGAAGCATTAGTCCCAGGTACAGAGTCGTAACATGTGTTTTGTATTTCAGCTTCTAAAACGAAAAGGGCAAGTGGCCAAAGGACTGGGCACACTGCCATTACCATGCAACTGGAAAGTTAAAGATTTTGGCAGCTTCATTAATAAGGAAAGAGTAGGGATTAACCTTTGCCTGGAACCTTAAAATTACCTCATGCATTTTGCACTACTTTTTTTTATTCATAGCTATGCACTTTCCCAGCTGCCTTGCACTTCTATGTGCTTCTTTAGCAGTGGAATACATTAACTGTGGCTATTAGAGTTGAAAAAGACAACAACAACAACAACAAATCCTCATTACTTGGAAGGGTCTTTTCCCCATCACTGTCCTGAAAAAATTTGGAGCAGCCTGTCAGGAACTGAAGCAGTTGTGCACAGCCTCAGCATGTCACTGAGATTTTAGCATGTTTCAGACAACCAATCCACAGGGGTGGGAAGCATATTTCCTGATCTCCCACCCCACGTGGTGGTCCATAGCTGAGTTAGGGAAGCCTGTACAGCTTTCGGCAGTCCAGGTGGGATGTGATCTTGCACAGCCTGTGGGGCTGTGGGCCTGTGTCCCAGCAATACAGTTCACTCCCCTGCACAGCCATCCCAGGCAAGCTCTGGTTTGCCAGTTTAATTTTGGAGCTGATTTCTATCAGGCTGGTGCAGGATCTGAGGAGAGCTGTCTTTTGTCTTGTCTGCAGAAGTGGCACAGCCTGAGGGTATGGACCACTCTGTCCCCATTCTTGTGCTTGTCATCTCCTATATTCCATCTTCCATCATCCAGAGTTCATCCATTCCCTGCCTGTCTGAAGATGGCATTACCCTTTTCCGTTTTGCATGCAGGAATAAAAATATGAGTATCCAACGTAAAAGAGCTCTTCGCTGTAAAATGGTCTGGGTCTGCTAGAGGCTATTGGTAACTGAGCCAGAACCGAAGGATCCTGCAAACAGCGCATGCAAGTCTTTATGCTCTGCTATGAAAATGCTTAGATCCAAATTTGCAGACTGATTAATAACCCTGTTATTATCTAATGCTCTGTTGGGAAGGAATAAATGGTTTTCTCACAGCCTTCTATTCCCCCCTACTTGTTGTGGAAATGAAAAGTTAAGCTGAATAAACTTATTCTGTATTTCTTTCCCGTGCTTTACCACAAATACAAACAGTCTTAACCACATACCACAGCATTAAATCTGCCTCCCCAGAGATATCAGCCTTCCACTTTCAGTCTATTTTCCAGAAGAGCACTTCCATTACAGCAAGTTCTCCCATCACTACTCATGTGTTCAGTGCAGCAATTTGATGAATCAGATACTGGAAGGTTGGTAGTGTAGAAAAGAAACCCTGTCACAAAACGTCACTTGTGACTTCAGTCCAAGTGAGGACAGGGTGGTAGTGGTGATCTTGAGATTATTTGAGAGTTTCTCTAAGGATTGGATGTATCTTTTATTGACAAGACTAAATAGGTTATTTTAAAATTATCCTTAAACTGGAAAGAAATAGATACCCTACTAAATTGCACACACAGTGTGATTACAGATGTCTCACAGAAAATTAAAAAAACCCCCAAACTTCAGTAGATTAAAAAATCTAATAGTTCCACAATGGGTAATGAACCAGGTAGAGCAAATGAGTCATTTATGAAACGTGTAAGGACAGTTTCATGATGGGACCTTAATGAATGAGTTGCTACCACCAAGTGACGTGCCAGCTCAGAGATGTGTCTCCTGACACTTGGGAAGATGTGGGAGATTGCAACTGCTCAGGAAGTGTGGTTTCCCCTTCTGGAACAAGTCACAGGGTAAAAAAGAGTTTCATTTCTTTTTGTACAATAACCCAGTTCCTTAGGGTTCAACTCCTCTTACAAAGGAGGCTGAACAATGACTGCAATGAAGATGACCTACTTCCAGTTTTGCCTTAGGTAATAGGAAACCATTATCTCAGTAATGGCAGTATTCCCTGGTCTTGCTCATCCTCCAGAAGTTCACTCACAGTCTCTCAGGCAGCCTGTGGCTTTTAAGCCCCACCCCAACATGCTTGTTTTAATACAAGGTATGGAAACATGATATGGAACCTCCCTTTTGCACTGTGGGTAGGCTCCATTTCAACCTGCCTTTGTTTGCCCCAGGAGCTCAGTGGTCCACCTCAGCCATCTGAGCTGCCTTGGCAGTCAGCAGGCAGGGAGGTGGGATGAAACATTGGCTCCAGCAGACGCTGTTTCCCAGGTGCCTGGTGCTTCAGTACAGAAGTTCAACCAGATATTGGTGTCAGCACCCTTACAAGTGTTCAGCTCAGCCTTGAGGAACTTTTCTTGTCTTCTTTTAAAAGCCTGGCTTCACTGTCGTGACAAGAAGGGAGAACCTTTACTCTGCATCGGCGTGGTACGTGCCATTCGTCGTCACCCTTGGCAGTTTGCTGCTCCTCGGAATGCTGGGGTTCTTGGGATTCCTGCTGGTGACCTGGCTCCGCACCTGCTGCCCTCCAGCAGGGAGAGCACACCGCACACCTCTGTGAGTGCTCCCAAATGCCAAGCTGGGGGAGTCCCCAGCAGCGCCTAGCAATGACAGAGGTAGCCTAGACCTTTTGGCTGTAATGAAATCTACACTTTAAATCTTTTATAGTATTGTGCCCTTCCTGGTGGTAAACGCTGTCACCAGCTACAGTGGTATTTAGTGTTAATCATGTGAAATCAAGAAAAAATGTCCACGGCATTTTTTTTTCATGGGTTTAGTAACACCAGCATTTGCTGAAGGTAGGAGTGGAATTAGCAATTATGACCTCTAAAGGCAGCTACACTCGTGAGGCTCAGTCAGAGACTGTGCCAGACTGCGCTGCCCACAGTCTGCAAATATAAATGCTTTTGGTTTGCATTTGACCCCCATTCCAAGGGAGCTCCCATCTAGGTAGTTACTGGATGCAGTTTCCTCCCTCCCAGAGTCCTTTGCAAATCTGCTCATGCCAAATTCATTGTCCTGGCAAAGCTTCTGCAGGTTTCCTGGAGTTTTACCCAAGCCAGTTGCAAGGCTCTGGCCCATAAAGCTTAATGGTACCTCTAAATGCTTGTGCTTGGCAAAAGCCACGGAAGCACCTGGGACTGGGCTCTGGATCACTGTGGGAAGTGCAGAGATCCCTGCTGGCTGGCTTCTCAGTGGGCTGGAGCCAGGCTGCCTCTAAATTATCTTTTTACTTCACAAAACAAAGATAAACAGTCCTTTAAGTGGGCTGGGATTAAAAAAAAGAAAAAGGATTTCTGTAAGTATTCACTGGATTTGGCCATAAATTTAGAAGTTACAGGAAATGTAAAGAGGTAATATATGATTGTGATTTTAATTCAAATGGTGCGTGCAAGGCATTTGCAACTTGTGATAAAAATGAAAAATGAATCTAAGATATTGTTACTATTTATTAATAGGCAAAATGATTCATTGGGAGCCAGGTTCTCCCATTAAAAAGCAATTTCTATATTTTCAAAAACATTTACAACCTTTCAAATATTTTAAGTGGTATTGTCAGAGCAGATCAGACTCAAAAGGTTGACCTTTCTCCAAGGATGGAATAAGATGACAGTATCTAAAAATATATTTTTCTAGATTTCATAAATCTATCATGCTATCATCAATAAGACTTTATTATTTTAATATCATCCCTTCTTGAAGAGGTGTTAGAGGAATGTTCAGGTCTGCTTTCCTGTTTGAGAGCAGTAATAAATGATACAGGCCTTCAGCAAAACCAGAAACCAAACAAATCAGGCAAATCTCAGAACTCAAGGAAACATCCTTCTTGCCAAATGCAAAAGAACAAAGCATGACATTTTTATACAGGTAAAAGTATTACATTTGTTAACTACACTCTTAGTCTTTTTTTTTTTTTTTACAGGATAAATGCTCCAGGTTTGTACCTCTTTTTTTTATTTAATGCCTCACAACAAGACCTTGTTTATGATTCAGTGTAAGGTTTGTAAACTAATTTCTAGACAAATGAATTTGACCCAGGACACGGGTACTGAGATTAGATAAGCCCGGCCAATTATGGGAGGCCTGACTAAGTGATTTCATGGCCCTTTTGGAGTTCAAATCTATCAACTATGAGGTAAAAACCAAATTCACAGTATCCTGGCATTTTGGCATAGGTGCTAAAGAATGGCTGTATTTTTCACATGCAATTCATATGCTATTTGTTAAAAAATAATCCCATCCACCTATAGCACCTTCAAGAGTCCTCTCCACTCTAAGTCCCTGTTCTCTGATCACTCCATTTGTTCCCTTAACACCATCACTTCATTTACCTGAAGATTTATTTTGAAGTATTGGTGCTTTTAAAGGGGTTTGTATAAGTTTGCATAAGTTGCACCTGAAAAAGCATGTTTTTTAAAGAGTTCCTTTTATCCCATTGGCTTCCTACTAGCAATCTTTGCTCATATGGGCTCAGTAGGACCCTACTTTTGTAACTCTTTCTCCTCAGCTGTTATCTCCCAGCTTGAAAAAACACAGAACCAACAAACCCCACAAAATCAGCTGTTCTCTTGTTTGCCCAATTTGAGACATTTCAGCATTGGCTGGTTTCTAAAAAATGAATGCTTGGTACCTTCTGAAAAACTGGTTCTCAAATGCTGGGCAGCAAAGACCAGACAGAACAGGTTTCCCATCACTGCTCAGGTTGAGACCCATCTGCAGCAGTTCAGAGTATTGCAAAGCCTGTTGGTGGCCAGGCACACGGTTCTCCAAAGAAAGCCCATTAAACAAATTGGCAAGGAGTGAGCAAAAAGAAATCACAGCAACTTGTTGGGTATCATCCACGAATCCGTGCTGTCGAGATGCCCATGGCACTGTTGTTCTGTTTGTTTGCATGTGGGATGAGTTAATAGTGTAGTAAATTCACACAAACCCAAACTGTTCTTCAGTCTGAATTTTACTTGACTGGAACTGCAGCACTTTCCTGTTTTGTCTCCAAGTGGATGGTTGAGCGCATAATCTTTGGAACTACAACAGTAGCTCGTGGAACTACAGCAGTCTACGTTTCTAGTTCAGATATCCCCAAAGGTGAATTTATCTCTATCTTCCTGTTATTTAGAAAGGGAAATTTGTCTAAAAAACATTGCTATTCATTCATTATTGAAGGAATAAGACTTTTCAAGGCTAGACTTTTAATTAGTCATTGGCAACTGTGGATTCCCACTCTAAGATACTATGAAGGAATTTGCTTTTCAAGGCTAATTTGAGATGTTTCAGAAGTTGAGTAGCAAGAGTATCTATTTGTTTGAGGAAATCTTGCATTTAGTTTCTATAGTCCTGCTCAGAAAAGTCTGGTTCTTTACAATGTGTGTTTTCCTTTCTGTAGAAAAGAAGAAACATAAGAAAGACGTGGTTGTGGTAAGTGCTGCTGGCCTCGAAACAAAACCCTGTTTTGCCAGCCCCATCATGCAATATGATCATGAGACCCTTTCTATGAAAGGTGTGTGTTTTCAAAGAGAATATAAAAATGATAGGCAAGGAAAAAAGGATTGCCCTCAAGTGCAAAATATTTCAGTACCCCACCTAGCCTCTGTGTTTTGAGGCAACATTGAGTGTGAGGGATTCACACGTGTGTGGGGCCTCTTTGCTTCCAAGTGCTGAAATGCCTACTGGGGAGTCCAGACAGGCTGTACCCACAACAGTGAAAGGGAGACTCATTTCACCCACAGAGGAGGGATGACAAGTGCCACAGCTTCACTGATGGTTGTGGTGTGCTGCTGAGGCACCTCTGACCTGTGCAGCTGACTCTGACCCACCTGAGTGCAAGCAGTGAGGTACACAAGCTGTAAAGAGTCTGGTCTTGATAAGCTGTTTGCAGGAAAATGCCATAGTTGTTTCTACTGTTGTAGATGTTTCTTTGCTCCTAGATCTCTGGGCTCTTTCTTTTTCATAGACATAATATCGTAAAGGCTGTAATGCTCTCAGGCACATGGTGTCATTCCTGGAATGGTCCTGTGCAGGGCCAGAAGCTGGGCTTCAATGATCCTTGTGAGTCCCTTCCAACTCAGGATACTCTATGAATCTATGCAAAGCACTTTCATCAGTGAACTCCCTCTCCACAAGTTCTTCAGAGAGGTGATTCCCAAACCTCCTTTGTGTGGAGAAGACCATCTTGTGGTTATCCAGGTGGAGGTATTTAGAGTGTCAGACCTTATCAATTCTCCTTTGAACATCTCATGGCAAAACCCTACACCACAAATAGCTCTTGTTGCCAGTTCAGATTAAACTCAGCCTAATGGAATGCAACATACAGGTCACACAAATCCACCTCCATCCATGTAGATCACAGTTTCCAAGTCACTGCTTATTCTTCATACTTAACAAATTCACAGGACTGATTTCATATTTTGTGTCTCTTCACAGACTATGACAAAGCTAAACACTATTTTTGATGGAGAAGCCAGAGACCCAGGTAATAAAAAGTAATTAACAGGGGATATGAACATTTGGCTGGAACCAAACTGGATTAGTTGATTTAAATATGGTTCGACACCAACTTTTCATGTTTCAGGTTTGCTGTTTCCAAGGAGAACGGGAATTATCTCTCACAGACAGTGCAAATCAAGGCAGTGCCTCAGTAACATTTCTAATGGTAGAATACACTTATGGCCCTTGAAAGCACACATCCAATGGCCAGATTATTCACACTACTCCTCTGCTAAACTTGAATGTATGGATGTGGTATAAGAGGGTGGGAGGAGAGGAGGGATTTTCTGCAAGCCTCTTGCTCTGGCTATGTGGTTTACCCCCTCCCATTCTGGGAAATGGCCAGGAGATTAATGTAACTGCAGAAGTACTGACTTTGTCTCTTGTACCTCTCCCTGGATGCATGGTGGGTTACTTGTTCCTGCACAGATCTCCTCCCTTGCAGCAACACTGCATTGCTGCTGTCTATCCAAGCATCTCTTGTTAGGGAGGAAAGGGAAGACCTTTTGCTTTTAGATACAGTTGTGGTGGCATCAGCTATCAAGTGTGTCACCAGGCTCCAGTTATGTTAACTCTGAGCATGTCTGATCAACGAGCTAGGAAAAGGGAAAATGAGGCAAAAGCTACAAAACCCAGGACAATCAGGGAGGTGTGTGCTTATCCCCTTCCCCAAGTGACAGCCACTGTGCTCTGCAGCAGGGCTCATTGCAGAAAGTGTTTTTCTAAGGGTTGTTCTGATTTACCTCATTCCCCTGAAACACAGCCCCTGCCTGAGCCCCTCACTGTGGTGCTTGGTCTGGAATTAGGATGCCCAGCCCTGCGCCTAATGAATGAGGGCCCCAGCACAGAGATGGAGGGGTGGTAAAATGTGACACTCAGTCCAAATAGGTCTTTAACAAATAGATCTGAAAATAGGTCTGAAACAATAGGTCTAGAAATTATCCAGAAGAAGGCAGGTTTGTTTCGATGCTTGAATTCATCTGGCCAATTTCCACTCAAGTGCCTGTACCTTGTGTTTCTTATTAGCTGGCTCGGAGCTGTTGGATGCCTTGAGCTAATGGGAAACATTGGGCATAGAGACTTCAGTAGAATTTGGGGAAAACAAAGGGGGCCCTACTGTGCAATTAAACCCATCCACAAGGCTGCTCAAGGCCAGTTTGATCCAGCTCCAAGCCCACCTGCTATTTATAAAGAGATCAGGAAGGATGGGCTCCAAAGTCCCTGCTTTTTCCCTGTGTAACTTCATTTGTAATACATGGATAGTCTAGACTGCCGCAAGACCTGCTTTCCAGTCTGCTTGCCTGACAGCTGGTGGCTCCCTTTCTCAGCAAACCTGACCTCACTAAACTTAAGGATATCTGAGCCCATCCAAACTGCACTTCAGAACCATAGCATTTATGTCATGCCTGGCACAAACATTAAGGTGTAACACAACTTTGTGGTGTCAGCAGGGAAATGTGTGCTCCTCACTCCTCCCCTCCCTTCTCCACAGCTCACCCAAAACCTAGAGGAGCAAGTGTTGCCAGTTTGAAAATGAGATTTAATAATTCCCAGGACATCATCTGTTGAATATGATTAAGAGGGATGGTCAGAAGCTGCTTCCTGATCTGGGCTGCTTTAATGTGCCCACCTTCTAAGCAGGCAGAAAAAATAACATGTAAAGAGATCCAGTTTCATCTTTAATTGCTCAAATTGTGTTAATGTGTCAGAAACCATTAATTCTGATACAAACTGTAAGGTGTAGTAACGCATAACCACCATTTCTTTCCAGGCCTTAATGGCCTATTGTTTGTCTTGTATTACTTATGTATAACTATAAGAAGTGCCACTATAAGTCTTGATTCTCTGTTTAGCAAGAATCAGAGATTTGGACTGTGAGGTGATCACACTGGAGACATGGCAATTTTTTGACATTTCTCTAGGTAGCAAACAAGCTGAAGGAGAAGATACTTGCTTTTAAAGTACAAGTAGAAGTTACCCATAAAATCTAAATAGAGACAGAAGCCTCTCTAATAAGGAAAGGCAGCCACATGTGAACAACCAAAATTTAACAATATTTTATATATACGAGGGAAGCATGTACTTGTACAAACTGAAAACACACAGTACTTCACTCTGTTAATGACAATGTGCACAGCAAGCCTCAAGGAAAGCATTCTGTGCAAATGGAAAGGAAACACATGCAGCCAAAACTCGTTGGAGAGCTCATGTCTTTAAATTCTGCATCAACCTAGATGAGCTTACATTGTCTGGAAGATGTCTGTAACACACTGGGCTCCTAAGCAGGTTTTGCTACCTCTGGTAGGCAACTCCACTTGACAAAATAGGCACAGACATCCACAATGGCCTTGCTCAGTATGGTGAAAGACAGAAGTTTTGGGATAGTTAGTCCTTACAACTAACAACTATGGATGTGTTTGTTACACTGCCCATGTCAATCCATGGTAGCTGTAACTTGGACAGAGCTATAGGATGATAGGAAGGTGCTATTTTTTGGAATGGGAATGTTTTGAATATTCCTGTCCCCCAAACTGCAGAGCCAGTTCTTATAGTGGCAGAATAGCAACTCCTCTGAGAGGCCACAGCAATGCCCAGGTCCCCACACTTTCTTGCAGAAATGAGACTTTCCCTCTTAGGGCACCTCCCCCACTCAGCTGATTTTCCAAGTGCTTCATGTTTCTCATTTCAATCCCATGCTGAGAACTGTCATGTCTTAATCTGCTAAAGCAGGAATTATTTTAATCAGGTGTCTTTTTGTTCTTGCAAGTTACTGGCAGAATGTACGAATTCAATACACGGTCGGGGGCCCGAAGGTGGAAGAAGAGCAATGAGCCCCTTCAGTCAATGCTGGCTGGTCAGGTAACACCCAGTGCCACAGACAATAGTGGCCAAGGGACAGACAGAGCAGAGGCAGCAAGCAAAAAAGAACCTTCAGAGAAGAGGAAAGAGCTGACTGCAGCAACAAAACCAGCTACCAAGCCCTCAGCAGACCAGGATGGGCTGAGATTACAAAAGCAGAAAGAGGAGTCTGAGGGCAGGGGGTTATCCTCAGTGGCCCCTCAAGGCAGGAACTGACCTGCTATCTCCAAATGAGCCCTACATTTCCACTAAGCCAGAGTTCATGAAATTCCAAGGCACTTTCTGAACAACCTCTGATCAGAATAACCAAAGAATCAGGTGTGATTTTTCTCTATGTATATCTCAGCTGCACAACATAAGGTGGGCATTGATGTGTATACTGGACCCAAAGACAGGATGAAGCTGGAGGTACCTCGGACAGGTGTGTGTTAAGAGTGGGAGAGAAGGGGAGGACGTGAGAGGGGGAGAAGAGGAAACAAAAGCAGAGCCACAGACAAGCATTCACTTTCCACTGCGCCCTACAGACAAAGGCAGTGTTCTCCTGGAAGAGCTCTGCAACCCCAACCAGCATGGCCACATCCTCTGACTGCCTTTGGGAATGGCAGCATACACAGGGATGTGCTTTCTCACAGCGAATGGGGTCTCCTGTTCCTGCTGAGCAGCAGAATGGGTGAAAAGCACATCAGGGTAAAAATGTGTGTTCATAAAAGCTAAAAATACTTGCTTTTTATTCGGTATTTTATTTCAGCCCTTCCTGGCCCTCCCATCTTGCTGTAGAAAAGACTGTGGCTTGAAAGCAATTATGGAGTGGAGAAAACCCACAGCTTGTTATGGTATCTGAGGCTGTCATGTCAACGCTTTCAGCTTATTTATCTTTCGTAACACTAGCAATGCTAGCAGCATTGAATATCTTCACCTTTGGTATTTCCTCTGGCATATTTAATGCTTTACAGAATCAAGTGGAACACACTCAAAAGAATAATGACAGTAAACACATGGGGTGAAATCATCTTTTCCGGGTGTGGGCATGTATAATATAATATAAGTGCTGTCGAAGAACTTGTTATAAAACAAGTAAACCCTACAAGATTTCAGAAAATTATTTTAATCTGAAGGAAAAAGTAATAAAAGATAACTTAATGCTCCATGTCTTGGCTTCTTTTCATTCCAGATTACAAAAAGGCTTTTTGGCAACAAGGGGCTGATATCAGGTGGCAAAAGAAAATGTGTGTTTAACTTGAGCATGGACAGTCAATGAAGATTTTATTCAGTCTGTCAGGTACATTGTTTTTTGTCATACAATGAAGGACCTGGATGGAGAGGTCCACGATAATTTCACCAAGGATCCTACACTTCACAAAACCACCTGTCATGGTGCTGTGATTCTTTGCTGTGCTCTAAAGGAGTGGTTTGGCTCTGCAACAACTTCCCTTACAGACACCAATCACCTTAATCAAATGCTGGTTCACTGCACAATCAGAAACCCAGCCTGTAATGAACATCACAATGATAGAGATATGAAAGAGTGATTTATACTCTGTGAGCATGTTATCAGTTTATTGTGTCTGTGGCAGTTGTCATAGTGCTATTTGGCCCTCCAACATCAACATGGCCAGACACACATTCAGTGCTCCAACCCACTATTGTTTACATTTATTTGCTATTAGTACAAGACATTTGATTCCTATGCAGGTGGTTTTTCAGTGACAAGGAGAAACTCTGCAGTAACTGGTAGTACTGCTCTAATTCTGATCTTCCTAACACTCTGACACCAAGCTACCCATAGGCACATAAGGCACCTCCAAAGGGAAATTTTACTACCTGAAAAGCTTACCTGCATTGTTTTCATGACAGGAAGACACGCAAGTATTTGTATTTAATTTACTTCTCAAGGGCACCTGCTATGCTTCCTCAATTACTCTCATTCTACTTTAGTGATTAAGAGGCAAATATCTTTTTTTTTCAAAAGGAGGCAGAGACAGGCTGTAGTTTCAGCCAGGAAACCTGAAAAGGGACACGTGAATATTCCTCTTTCTTTACTATTGTTCCTCCCTCAGAACTGCACAAACTTATTTCCTGCCTTCTCAGGAATAAAACCCCAACAGCAGCTTAACACGGTATCACAGCATGCTCTGAACACCCGTGTATGCAAACACGTTGTCACAGCCAACACTGCTGGTGCCATAGTCTCTGACAGCAGGCCAACAGCTGGGTGAAAAGAAACTACTCTCATAGTGATGCTCACATACTCTAACCTCAGAGCAACTGAGAGTTCTACAAAGAGGTACCGTGGACCTAAGAGACACCAGATCCAAGAGCTAACACTGCCCGGAATGCTTGTACCTGGTTGAGGTGTGTTTAGCTGGTATACTCAGAGTCTGGGACGGGGGGTAGGGGCAGGTTTAGGCAGGATAAAGCATTCTGTGAGTCTGTATTGTGTGGGGAAACAAGTGTGCTGGCCATAAACTGCAGCTTCACCAGTCCTTACACTGTTGCTTCAATATGTGCTACGCTGATCTCCAGCTCCAACTAATTCTTCATCCTGATCTTCACTGCAAGACCTTGCTTTGGACAGGACTACTTTCCTTGCTTGGGATCTACAAAAACAAGGAATGAAAAGGCTTTAAGTGAGCAACAGCTTTATGCAAAAGTGGTACCATTTTCCCCTTAGCTGTCCCTACTATTATTGATGTTCCTCCCTGTGAAGGGAGAACAGATGTACAACTGCTACTTAATGTATCAAACAATATGTGAAAAGATGCTTTGAATATATGCAAAAGCAACATATCTTTTTCATAAAATAGAAACTATAATATGCTGTGCAGTGCAGCTTTAAACATTAGAAACCTCTTCTCATTGTCAAACCAGCTTTTATGCTTTTTTTCATTCATAAGTGGCTTTGAGAGCACAGATTCAGTGTCCTGAACTGCCACTAGATGGACTGAGAGCAAAGATTAAGTGCAGTTCTATACAATAAAAGTACTTGATAATTGGAACAATTAACTAAGACCAGGAGGCCTTTCCGTCATTTGAAGCCTTCGGAAGTCAAGAAGGGCTGCTGTGTGCTGTAGAGGGTCAGCCTAGATGATGGCAACAGCCTCTCTAGTCTTCAAGAGCTCTGTTAGTCTCTGTGCACAGAGATAGAAGGTGTGAACTTTGGTGTCATTTATTTTAGAGTGATGACACTGAGAAGCTTAGACTAGAAGAAGAAGAAAGGCACCTGGTGGTTGAAGCAGAGTGGCTGAGGGCAACAGTTCCTGACCTACAGCTGCCTATTACATGTTATGCATTAATTTTATCTGAAGTCTACAAAAATCAGTGTGAGTTCTGCCACAGTTTTTGATTGCTGTGTCTCCACCTATTACACATCTCTGAAGTGCTTCAAAACCTGTGGATTAACATTGCTCTGAAAGTATCAAGAGTGATTAGGAAAGAGCACAGGTCACTTTTTCTGACTGGATCTAATTCCCCCAGCAGTTTATGTGTGACCATGTTACTGAGGTTTTTATGCTGTTCTCCAAACTGAGTGTACTTCTAATGCATCAGTGTTCTGCTTTCATGCTGGTGTTATAAATAGCCCTTGCAATAAACATCAGAAGTCTCAGCTTCTGGCAGCGTAACTTCGTTTTTTACCAAGGAAGGTAAAAGTGTATTTGCTCATGGTCTCAAAGAGGTCTACACATGAGAACAACCTCAGCTGTAGAGATGGAAAATGTTGCCCCAGCAGGCTGCCACTTCGTGACTGCTCACCAGGAGCAGGGGATGGTGCTTGCATCCCCTCAGAGAAGGAGTGTCAGACAAAGGGAACAATCCTGCTATTTCTGAGCAAAGATCTGGCTGTTAAGTTATTTTACGAGACCTGAATTGCAATACCATAATGGAACTAGCATTTTAACAGCGAGCAGCCACAACTAAATATTGCACATGCCCTGGATGATTAGTTGTCTGACACCCCCAGCCACAACAGGCCCTTCACAAGACTCCAGTTGAAAGGCTGAACATGGGCATGGGTTCCATCCACACATGATTTGTATGAACTTGTCACTGCAAGCTCCCCACATTGTCCTGGGGAGAAAGAGCACTTTGGGGGTGACATGTTAAAAACAAGATGTCTAGAACAGATCAGATGAACTGTGCCCTAAAAGCAGCTCTTTCTGGATGTCTAGATCAGATATCAATGCCTCCACAGTACACACAAAGGTAAATCAGCTGAATCTCAGCCCAGGTTGTTCAGGTGAGGGCAGGTCTGTACTGTTACACCAATGCCCGAGGAAGCTGAAAAGCAGGAGAGAGCTGAGCACAGAGGTCAGCCAGGCTTTGCTGCTGCCTGCTCAGATCCCAGGAGGAAATGGGGCTCCACCCACACTTTGTTAGTGCTCCAAGGTCTGCATGATGCTTTCTGGGATCTGACTTGGGGTAATTCTGCATCTGGAAGCATATTCTGAGATTTGCTTCAAAGTAGCCCTGTAGGAAAGCATGGGCGTGGCCAGGAGATTGAAGAAGTCAAATACAAGCTTGAGCGAGTTTCTGCAGTGACTGTGTTACTGAGTGAAAGACACACTTGAAATCAAAATAGATAAATAGATCTTACTCTGAATGGCATTCAAGAATGATACCGCTCTGCAGCTCTTCGGTACCAAACTCCAGCTCCTGCAGATCAGCAGATGCCATGGGATTTGATTTTGGGTGAGATCCATGCTTAATTTCCAAGGCTTGAAAATAACAGCTGGTGAATGACACAGGAAGGCATGGCTTGTTCCAGCCATGCAGTTGTGCTTAATTTTCAATTCCTTATGGTGGGTACCAGCTGGAGCCATGCAGACAGGGGCAGCAGCACCATGTTTGCACAGGGCACACCTGGATTAGCCCTGTCTGGCACAGCACAGCTTGCCCTGCCCAGGTGTCCGCCCTGGGCTCTGCCCATGGCGCCCTGCCTGCTGGCCAGCTGTGACAGCCAGCTGTTTCCAGAGGAGCTGTGAGTATCCTGGAGCACAGGAATCTCCCCTGGGAAGGGTTTGCAGGCTGGTTCCTGTCCCTGTAGGTAACAAGGCTGGTGGGCCCACAAGCTGCTGGATCTGCACATTTAGCACAGCTCTGGGCAGGGCCTGCTATGAGGTCCAGATAGGCTGCCAGTAGAAAAACACGGCGAGGGCCCAGCAGAGGGCAACAAAGATGATTAGGGGTCTGGAACATCTCTCATGAAAAGAGAGTGCAGGAGCTGTGCCTGTTTAGCCCAGAGAAGACTGAGAGGGGATCTCATCTATACATATAACTATCTCAAAGTTCAGTGTCAAGAAGATGGTGCCAGATTCTTTTCAGTGGTGCCCAGCAACAGCAGAAGAAGCAATTGTCATGAACTGAAACACAAGAAGTTCCACCTCAACATGAAGAAGAACTTCTCTATGCTGAGGGTGAGAGAGCACTGAATAGGTTGTCCATGACAGGGAGGTCATGGATTGCTCCTCTCTGGAGATATTACAAACTCACCTTGGCATGGTCCTGTGTCACCTGCTCCAGGTCACCCTGCCTTGGCAAGCGGGTTGGACTGGATGACCTCCAGAGGTCCCTTCCAATCCTAACTATTCTGTGATTCTGTAACAATATGTTCACACCTGGCCACAATGGCACCAGGAGGAGGAGAGGCTCCAGCACCCCCTTTGCTGGCCCGGTCCCAGCTCCTCCAGCCATCCCTCCTCTCCTCTGCCATTACTGAAGGCAATGGCAGAGAAGGGGTCTCTGCCATCCGGTCAGTGACTGGTCCGCTGAAACTCCCACGGGGCCCTTCGGGCGCTGCTGGCAAAGAGGGAGGCAGGGGATGGATGCCTCGCTCCTGAGACAGGGAAGCTGAGACACGGCCTTCCTCCCACGGCAGCGCGGCTGTGGCGTGTCCGAACGGCCCCGGCCGAGCTCTGCTCCTGGTGCTGGCCCAGCCCCGGTTCCCCCAACCCAACCCGGGGCTGTCCCTGCCCGGGGAGCGGCCCCGGCTCTGCCGCAGCTTCGCGGGGCAACACCGACCCCCAGCGCCCGGCCGGGGACAGGCGGTGCCGGCCGAGGATGCTGCTCTCGGCTTGTCTCGTACCCCTGCCAGCACCCTGCCCAGCAGAGGGTCGCCGGG